TTTCACACAATTGTTAGTCGATTTGACACAATTAATAGTCGATTTGACACAATTAAGAGTCGATTTGACAGAAGGGTCGTTTCGACGAAAGGGTCGATTCCATTCCAGGGTTGATTTGACTTATGCGAAAGACGTTTCGCGATGGAGAGCCAAAACGAAGCTCGTTGGGGCCAATATGTTAATAAAAAAATTATTTGGAGCCAAAACAAACCCAGACGTAAGAGTAGTTTTTGGTCTGTGGGGGCTACATTGGCAATTGATTGGGATAAATTTGAAAATGGTGGGTCCGTTGCAGAAAAGGGTAGGGTCAATTTGGCTTTCCTCCATAGCTAAAATGGCTCCATGCATAGTACCGATCCAGCTCTCCAATACCAAAATGGCTTTCACATAGGGTCAAAACAGCATTGGCCCCAAAAGGGTTGAAACGGAATTTTGGCTCCATTTTCGGCCCTTCGGTCCTTTTTAATTTACAGTGTATGGACTTTATCATTAATTACTATTGTTTTGTATTTATCTTTAGTGATTTACAACATTTTTATTCAGTTTGCTGTATAAGGACTCGTTTATTTCTTGAATAGCTTGAATATTTGATACCTTCCCGCTCACTTATGACGTTTATTTCGCTTGTGACGTTGATTTCTCTCGTATCTTTGCTCGGTATTCGTTTTCATTATTAGAACAAATGTTTCTAACTGTGTCCATCCTCCTTGTAATGGTTCGTGTGCAGCGACGTCGCTATAGGGGTGGGGTGGGGGTGGGGTGATATTTGCCCAATGTTGGTCAAAATGGGAGGGTGGGACTGGGGGGGTATTTGCCCAAAGTTGGTCAAAATGGTAAAACTCGGAAAAATTTGGTCAAAGTTTGGGATAAAAGATGGTCGAAGTTGATCAAAGTTATGAAATGGTTGGCAATTTTAACAATTTTAAAGCTTTTGTTATGTTTGCGGTGAAAAAATTGGAAGCCTGGCTTATCTTGGTCGAAAAATTTTGAATATGCTTATGTTAGTCGGGAAAATTTTTTTTGACTATGCTTATGTTCGTCCGGAAAACATTTTTGACCTCGCCCCCACCCCGTCGACAACATTTTCAGGAAAAATTTGTACGACTTGGTCAAAATCCTAGGAAATGTTGCTCAAAACATGACGACACCCGCCCAATGTTGATGGCTTCACGACGTCCCTGTTCGTGTGCCATTTCATTTCGGATTTAATCTTTTTCGCTTTCTACTGTTTGTTTCATTGCACTCCGTTGATATTGGAAGCTTTGTTATTCGATTATGGCAATTGTAACACTCGCAGGCACTTGTGCATTTCCAACCATTCTTTAGGCTTCTATACATTTTGACTTCCCTACGCCGTCCAAACAGGATTTGTATTGGGGACCAGAATTCTTTTTTCCTTGCCGCAAGAGCAATCATATTCCAAATCTTTCTTTGTTTTGGCAGCCTTTGCATTTGCATTCTCTGGAATACATATCTCCGTTAACAGTACACGGACAACGTGACGATTCATTTTGTATGCAATAAATTAGTTCGGTCTATTCCGGTCCGCTTGCTATTTTTGCCACATGTGCAACGTGTAAAACCCTGGTTGATGTGTATAAAAAACAATTAAATTGGGCAATGAATAATTTGGATATGTGCAATGGCAAGACTATTGTCATATGGTGGAAGATAGGAAACATCTTCCACCTATCTTCCACATCGTTTCCACATATCATGAATGAAATATTAGTTAAACATAAACCAAATGAAAATATTCTAACACATTATATAAATTAACATATTCCAATTACCTGTTTCATATATAGCAGGCGAATAAATCATTGTATTAGTGATTAATGTTCGAATTATCGATTGAATTATAAAATAAGTATAAATATACAAATAACAGTGCAACAAATGTGTGTGAATTAAATGCAATCCACACGGCCGCGTATTGGTAACGTCCAACTCGTTAATTTGCAAAGCTTTTATGACACGAAGCACCCGGAATGGAAGTTTATGCAAACGTCTCGCCCACGCACATGTGACTTTATCTTCTTTGGTGAGGGTACCGCCAACGAACGCCAATATAAAAAAAAATAACTGGCTGATATTTCTCCAATTTTCAGCGCGCCAAGGTCTTTGCAGAAGAACTTCTTGTATATTTGATAGTCACCCATATCAATAATTCCTACTACATTTTCCATACTCAAAATCCCCGTTAAGCAATAAAGAGAACCCGCTGTGAACGTTGTCGTTGTCAAATATGATCTCACTTAGACCAAATGTAGAATATATCTCTGAAAAATCCGCTAATTTGCGTACTTTAATTGTTTATGAAAAACAATTAAATTGCGAATGAATAATTTGCATATGTACAATGGCAAGAATATTGTCATATGGTGGAAGATAGGAAACATCTTCCATCTATCTTCCACATAGTTTGCACATAACGTGAATGGAATATTAGTTAAACATAAACCAAATGAAAATATTCTAACTCAATACATAAATTAACATATTCCGATTGCGTGTGTTATATAGCAGGAGAATAAAACATTGTATTAGCGATAAATGTTTGAATTATCGATTGTGTTATAAAGTAAGTATACATATACAAGCAGCAGTGCAACAAATGTGTGTGAATTAAATGCAATCCACAAGGCCGTGCAATGGTAACGTCCAACTCGTTAATTTGTAAAGCTTTGATGACACGACGCACCCCGAACGGAAGTTGTGCAAACCTCTCGCCCACGCACATGTGACTTTTTCTTCTTCGGTGAGGGTACCGCCAACGAACGCCAATATCGAAAAAAATAATTGGCTGATATTTCTCCAATTTTCAGCGTGCCAAGGTCTTTGCAGAAGAACTTCTTGTTTATTTGATAGTCACCCATATCAATAATTCCTACCACATTTTCCATACTCAAAATCCCCGTTAAGCAATAAAGAGGACCCGCTGTGAACGTTGTCGTTGTCAAATATGATCTCACTTAGACCAAATGTAGGATATATCTCTGAAAATCCGCTAATTTGCGTACTTTAATTGTTTATGAAAAACAATTAAATTGCGAATGAATAATTTGCATATGTACAATGGCAAGAATATTGTCATATGGTGGAAGATAGGAAACATCTTAAACCTATCTTCCACATAGTTTCCACATATCGTCAATGGAATATTAGTTAAACATAAACCAAATGAAAATATTCTAACCCAAAACATGAATTAACATATTCCAATTGCCTGTTTTATACAGCAGGAGAATAAAACATTGTATTAGTGATTAATGTTCGAATTATCGATTGAATTATAAAATAAGTATACATATACAAACAACGGTGCAACAAATGTGTGTGAATTAAATGCAATCCACAAGGCCGTGCAATGGTAACGTCCAACTCGTTAATTTGCAAAGCTTTGATGACACAAAACACCCCGAATGGAAGTTTGTGCAAACGTCTCGCCCACGCTCATGTGACTTTATCTTCTTTGGTGAGGGTACCGCCAACGAACGCCAATATCGAAAAAAATAACTGGCTGATATTTCTCCAATTTTCAGCGCGCCAAGGTCTTTGCAGAACAACTTCTTGTTTATTTGACAGTCACCCATATCAATTCCTACCACTGACATTTTCCATACTCAAAATCCCCGGAAATTTTTTTTTAATTCACCCTTTAGAAATAGCAGAATCTTGCCTTAGATTCCATTGACATGTCTCTGATCTTGTAACCATGCCAGAACCTCGTCTAGATATATATTTACATAGTGGTAGTAGTGGCCTTTTAGAATTTAACCTGCCCCACTCATTTTCTCGAGTGGGATCCTGCTATCATTTGTCGAAGTGAAGGTTCTAAGCAACTCGGGAACTCAACTTGGAAATTCGACCTCCATGAAAAACAAAAAATGTGTACAACAATATAATTTTTAAAGCAGCTGACACCTTTATGTTCTGCCAGTTCAAGGAACAATTTTCCAATTGATTAGGTAAAAGAAACAGTTTGCACAGGCACACAAAGGTTTTTGAAAGACGCTGCTTGAAATGCTACTTCGCATGATATTACAAATTCACCCACAACACACTTCTTTCAATTTTTAATGATAAAGCAAATAATTACATTGAACATACAGGAATGTAACACAAATAGTAAAGAAAATTTTATTAGAAAATGAAATGTTTGTCAAACTTTGAACTGTAATCATAATGGAAAAATATGATACAAATTTCATTCGTTTGACAAATTTGATATTGTACATGATCGTGAACATACTACCTAAACAAGCAAAAGCAGAAATACTCGTAATCATATCTTCTTACCAGTATAATCCCTATTATGCCATACCTCAAAACAATCAAACCCAGAACCTACATGCATATGTCTATTATTGCAATACAATAAGTATAGACCGGCTTCTGCCCTAATCTTTTCTCATATCAAACTACACAATGCCTCCTCTTCTCAGCCGTCTTAGGAATATGGACAATGCATAACTGATCATGGCGAGGAGCAGCTTGTACTGTCTCATTTACAGGGGTACATCGTACTTTTCTAACCCGGTAATCTGTCTAACTAACCTCCTCCCTAAAATCAACTATATTATAAGTAGACCTACGATGCAAATCTGGATTGTCCGGATCACTAGCACGATGCTGCTGAAAAAGAAGAAAACCGTTAACAACTGCAATATCTACTAAGTGGTAGAATAAAGTCTTCCACCATCTATAACACTTACGGGATACATTATGACATGCAAGCATCTGATCTGATCTATCTATTCTACTGCATTCATGTACTAATTACATATATATAATGCATAGGGCTGGACTAATTCTACCTTGTCATACACACCTCTCGTCTTTGTTCTTCTCGTCACAGGCATTGTGTCATTCGCGGAATCAATTGATGTTAGCAAGGAAACAGGCTTGTTGTCAACCCATTGGAGGGCTAACACATCTGATTCCCGTTCCCATCGCATGCTTCCTCGCTTCAACTTCTTTGCCCACACTTTCACATTCCTCATGGATTTGGGGAACCCTCCCTGTTAGTTTTACATGTGCCTGATGATGTGATCACATGCAAAAACAGATCTTAACTAACTTAGGAGATGTAAAAATTATCAAAAATACATGATACCCCTGCCCCAAATATGGATCCACCAACTTCATCACCACATCATAACCAAGACCATTACCCGATGGTTCTTAATGCTCCAACTTACCTATATAAACATTGAAATCGAAAGTAAACCCATTCAAACTATCTGCCAACACCCAGAGTTTTATCGCTCACTTTGTAGGCTTATTTTTCATGTATTGCCTAATGCCCGACCTATGTTTAGACTTGACCATACGCTCATCCACAGCAATATTCTGGCTCGGTTGGTATGACATACGGCAACGCCCTTTGAATGCCGCAAGAAATTCCTCAATCTTGCGCAGTTTATCGCCAGGCTGCTCGACGGCGGGATCTACCACATGCAAGAATGCCATAAGGGCTTTATAACGGGTACGGGAAAGTATCTTCCTTGCCCAGAGACCGTGGTAAAGGGTCTTTGTGCTCCAATACTTTTCAACGGCTGAGTCCACACGTACCAGATCAAAATAAATCAAAAGAGCAATCAAATTATTTATTTCATCATCAGTCATTTCTTTCCAAGCCCCCTCCAAAGTGTTGTATGTAGTATACCCCCCAGCTACAAGTTTCATGTATGCGTAGCTGTTGGTGTGGGCAACAACTGATCTTATCATCTCGGAGGTGAAGAAGAGACGAAAAAACTCTAACGCAGTTGTCATACCTCTCCGCAAGACTTGCCTACCAAAATGAATTCCCTGCGGACGGTTTGGTTGAAAGGGAGGGAGGTCATTCCTAGTGTCCGCATCATCATACGACTTACTACGTACTAGTATTGGGAGTACCACCAGCGCTGGCCCTTCCCCTTCCAGCCCTGGCCCTTTCCCTTCCAGCCCTGGCCCTTCCAGCCCTGGCCCTTCCAGCCCTGGCCCTTCCAGCCCTGGCCCTTCCCCTTCCAGCCCTGGCCCTGCCACTTGCAGCCCTGGCCCTGCCACTTGCAGCCCTGGCCCTGCCACTTGCAGCCCTGGCCCTGCCCCTCCTACCCCTTCCCCTATTGCCAGAAGTACCGCTAACTGGGGATCGGGCTCTTCCACCCCCATCCTCCCCCGTATCACTATCCTCCCTCCAATCCAGATCATCTTGAGAGTCATCATCTTCTTCATCACTAAAAAAGTCAATAGTATATATATAATAGCATACTGATACATGGTGTTATTTTGCTTCATATAAAACAAGAATGCATGAATTAATTAATTTTTAAATGCACCCAGAAGTAAGTAAATAGTATAAGCATACTGATACATAGTGTTATCTTGCTATATAAAGCAAAAATGCATGAACTAATTTTTAAATGCCCCAAGTATGCGACGTGCGCAGCGTCATGCTCACACATTTTGATCGATAAATTCTAACCCTCGATATTTGTGCCTATATATGAGAGGACTCTCAAATAAATGCCATATTACATAGGTTATGTTATTTATTTGTTATATTTCAAATCAGATCATAGATTATAGACCAAATTCTTACGGCCAGTGTTAGTCAAACTTCACGTTTGCGTCGAATGCAAATTTGAGTCGATCGACCATGACATGACAACATCTGTTCGCTAAAAACATATAAATACTTGCCTTGAGTCGCTATCAGATGCTGCCAAAAGTGTGTTCAAGTCTTCTTCTTCATCCGACGATATACCGCCACTGAGTTATTATTTTCATTGTTTAATAAGTCTAAAACCGCATTGAAGTTGAGCGTGTTTGCAGCCATGTTTCAAGATAAAAGATCAGGAAAGATGGCAACGCGGTCGTTGGTGCGCACGTCACTTATAAAAAAAAAATGCCAAATTAGGCACGGATTTTTCCGTAAACCAATGAAATTCACGATACTAGTCAATTACATCATGAGGAATCGATTGCCGAGGGTTTTAAATCCTTATTGTGAAAGGATCCCATAGATTTGTGAGTCCGAAGTTTGCCGACGAATTACGATCGCGTCACGGCGAACGTGCAATTCCGAAAATGCCCATAAATGTTGTTGTTTATTTCGTAATCTTACGAAATGTAGGACAAAACGAGATTTTGATACAAGGATTCTAAAGGTGGTATTGCTGTCTCGAAAACTTTCAATCGAGCGAAGATATAGCCTACCAAAGTTGAAGACACGTTTGTTGTGATCAACATCCGGTACGTTTTTAAAAAAATACATATATTAAGGATTTAAAAGAGGATAAATCGCTTCAGTTGCATCGTAAACAAATAAAATTAGGTCTGATAAGATATTTTGTAACGGCGGAGCTAGCAGTGGTATTTGCATCTACATAGCATACAGCGAACCGAAGATATGAATCTGCAAAGTCGTATTACAGCAGTGTATTACGTTAATAGGGTCATGCCGTGAAAGAGTTGTGACGCTTTATTGGAACGCAATCCAACGCCGAATCTGAGGCCCAATCTGGCAGGTTAATAACCTTAAGGTGGTAATAAAATTGATATTGAAATACAAATCGATTTAGCGTGAATAGTCGATACATTTTGTGTTCGACAATTACTGTGCCCAAGTTCTGTAATAAAATAGACGAAGTTAAAGCATTTTGGTTGGTTTGAAACGCGGAATGCGAAGCAAACGTATTCGTATTTCACATTCACCACATACTTAAGCCGGTTTTTCACTTCGCCCGTATCGTACCGAAACGTACTGGTGAGCATGCGCAGATTGAAAAGAGGTTTATAAATCCACATACTTCCGGGTGTATTTGCGTATCAAAATAAAAAGTTCGTCGCAAGTCAACACTTTGGCGTACTACGGAAGTACTAACCAATCAACATTCACGAAATTTTGAAATTTGAAAACGTTTTTGATACGTTTCGGTACGGTGCGCTTGAAGTGGAAAACCGGCTTTACGCGCCAAATATAACCGTTTCACTTAAGCATGTGCATACATTGATACACGGAATGATATCAAATGACGCTTGTTGAATTCGTGTTTAGCCTCTCAATCTTGTTATGATCCCTCAGCAGCGGTTTCATTAAATGGTAATAACTTCATCGGTGCTGGAGCCTGTATTCTTTTGTCCACCAGAAGAGTAAAAACGATTGACAGCAGTAGAGTTATATTTGAATAAATGGCGTCTCACTGAATCATATACATCGGTACTTGAGCCAACGACAACGTATTCCTTTGTCCACCAGAAGAGTAAAAGCGCTTGCCCGCGGTAGAGTTATATTTTAATAAACTGCGTCTCGCTGAATCATACATCGGTACTTGAGGCAACGTATTCCTTTGTCCACCAGAAGAGTAAAAGCACTTGCTCGCGGTAGTAATACTTGAATAAACTGCGTCTCACTGAATCATACGGCGTCGCTGGCCGTCGTTTTATATGAAATATCTTTTCTAGCGTTCATAAACTCTTTGCTGTTACATTGCCTCAATTCAGGGGCCGTCCGTAATTCTTTACCGCTCTACACCAAGTCAATTTTTCGGTAACCAGACATTGTTAATTGATTGGCCGGTATTTGTCTCCGCGCGTTGTCATGTCACGTTGTCACATCTTGGCGTCGAACAGAAGGCATATTCTCGCAGAAGTATGGCCAACAATTGGGATATGTTTTAATTTCCAGAAAGTATTTTGCCGCAGAGGTCATACACTTCTGCTTGCAAGTGACACAATGAGGCTTACTGATCGAAGCAGGAAACTATGCAGACGAAATGGCGAAACCATACCTGATTGGTCTATTTCCCGCACGCATGGGAAGAGATTTGCCAATGGTTTGTTGTTAATTCAGCCTTGCGCTATGCACGTGTATGATCACATGGTTCACATATTGACCTTTGTACCAGACCTTTGTACTCCAGGTGACTTTGCACAACTTTACTCTTGTCCGAACGCTTGTTTCTTTAACTTAAGTTTATAATGATATGGGCATGTATAAACTTGCTTGATTCATTAATTGTTGTGTTAATGAGAATTTGCGGAAACTTCTCGGGCGTGAAGTTTATGATATGCTCATAGTAAAAATAGAAAGAAGTTGGGGTCACCGAACTCGTTTCGAATGTGTAATTAATTTTATGTGTAATTAATTTTATATTGGCCCTTTTCCCCCATACGACGCCATCTTGACCCTTTTACCAATTACAACAACAATCGCAATTGCTCAACCGTTATTGATTTTTTTACAAGTGATTATATACAGGAAAACATGGTATTCTAGCGAATCAAAAACCATTGCACGTCAATGGTTTTTGATTCGCTAAAATACCATGTTTTCCTGTATATAATCACTATACAGGGTCTCAATTTCGCAAAACAGCTATTAGTATCCAGTTTTTTATATATATAGTTTCTTTGGGTACTTATAATGTAGAATAATGAAAAAAAATTCTCGAACTCAAATTTTGTAAACCAGGGGTGTGTGTTTTTTCCAACAAACTATAAATCGCTTGCGCACTAAATTTAAAAGCTTTAATTGTATTTTGAGTTAATGGATGGAAACGCTGTTGGGTTTTTAATTACTGTACAGAATTTCAGACAATTTGCTTCAGTTTAATCCCTTTAACTGTTCATGCAAACTTACATTTTTTCCTAAAAAATCATCCTTCCACATGCTTAATTAAGCGTTTGACTAATTTGCTTATGTCAGCAATATGCAAATTAGGTAAAGACATTAATTAAGCATGCGAAAGGCTGATTTTTTAGGAAAAAATGAATAGTTACCTAAAGAAAATTGTCTGAAATTTTGTACATTAATTAAAAACCCAACAACGTTTCCATCCATTAACTCAAAATACGATTAAAGCTTTTAAATTTCGTGCGCAGGCCATTTATAGTTTATTGGACCCCCCCCCCCCGGGTTCAAAATTTGAGTTCGAGAATTTTTTTTTCATTATTCTACATTATAAGTACCCAATATATATATATATATATATATATATATATATATATATATATATATATATATATATATATATATATATATATATATATATATATATATATATAAAAATCCGTCTGACCGTGAAGCTCAGTTGGTAGAGCGTCGATCTAGTAATTCGAAGGTCGCGGGTTCAAGACCCAGCCGCGGCAGACTTTATCTTTCTGCTTACGCTGTGTATGGAAATTATATAATACACACTCGAGAACATTTTCACCTTAATATATATATAAATATATAAATTTAAGCTAAATTGTTAATAAGAAGAAATATTGTACCAATACAATACAAATAAGTCTATTCAAGGCGTAGGAGTGCTATGGATTTCAGTAATTGTTTCACTTCCCTCATGAATACGTTTAAGTCAGCACTTGATCGTACTCCTTGGGGAAGATCATTGAATAAGTTCGCTGTTGTCTCCTGAAAAGTTCCTTTTATTAATGGAATCGACAATCGTTGTGCTGCATTAGAGCGTAGCGTTCTTCCAGGGTTATATACTTCCAGGGTTAAATACTCAGGCCAAGAGGTCTTGTTGTAGATTACTCGGTGAGTATGCTTGAGGAGGTTTAATTGTGTTCTTTCCAAGGTTGGAAGCCATCCAAGTTGTAAGACATCTTTTCCAGAACAATAACGATTGGTGACGAAGCTGGCAGCAGCGTTTTGCACACGTTGCATTTTCTTTTGTAGGTATGCGGGGAGAGGATAGCAAACGACATCATTAAAGTTTAGCTTAGAAAGTACAAGACTTTCTGCTAATAGCTTTTTAGTATGTTGGGGTGTCATATTCCGAATTTTGCGCAAAGTTGAAAGTACTCCATAACAAGACGAGACAAGTTCCTTTACATGATGTGACCATTTGAGATCCTCACTAAGCCACGTACCAAGTAATTTAAAATTTTCAACTCTCTCAAGGGATTGATTCTTAATGGTAAGAGGTGGCGTGATGTCTCCGAGATTGTGAGTTCTTGACATCTGTCGAGTGCTTATGAGCATCTGCTTAGTCTTATTTTCATTCAACAAGAGATTGGATTCTGTGGCCCAAGTTTCGAGAGTTTGCATGTTGTCATTCATTTCTTGTACATATTGACTGAGGTTTTTAGGGGTACAACTACGGTAAACTGTTGTATCATCGGCGTATTGGAAGCACCTGCAGGTAAAATCATTTTGAAGATCGTTAACGTAAAGGTTGAAAAGCATGGGACCCAATATCGATCCCTGCGGAACACCAAACAACACGTCAGCTAGTTCAGATTGGCTGTCATTTACTTGAACAAGTTGTTTCCGACCAGTAAGGTAGTTAAGAATCCAATTTAACGATGAGTGTGAAAAGCCAATGGCATGAAGTTTCTTTATTATTACCGCGAAGTCCACTGTATCGAACGCCTTCGAGAAGTCGGCGAATGCAAAAAGAGTAATTTCTCCTTTTTTCATAGCCTTTAATATATCGTCTCTTACTCGTAAAAGGACAGATGAGGTGGCATGGCCTTTACGAAAGCCAGTAACATTCTCGTTTAATACATTATGCTGGTCAATGTATTTTATAATTTGATTTAGGATGAGGCGTTCATAGACTTTGGAAAGAGCCGGGAGAATAGCAATTGGTCTATAATGGTCTAACTCAGTCGGAGAGGCTACTTTGGGTATAGGTGACACACGTACAGTCTTCCAAACATCTGGAAAGCTGTGATTTGCAATAAACCCGTTGATGATATAGGTCAATGGTGAGGCAATGCAATCAGCTGCCATCTTAAGGTATTTTACCGGAATCTGGTCAGTTCCTGTCGAACAGTCAGATCTTATTGTTCTTAACTGATTCAATACTTCACTATGGGCAACAGGACAAATATTAAACGAGTTGGACATACAGACTGGTAATGAGTTTACTAGTTCTTGCAAGGCACTTAGGGAAGTCGGCACTGATTTATAGGTTTGGAATTGGGATGAAGTATGCGGTGTATTACTTTCCAAAGTTCTTTCGGTTTTTTTGATGATAATGCTTTCTGATAGAAAGCTCTCTTGACCTTCTTAATCTTTGTCTGTATAGTGTTTCTTACTTCGCGGAATTTATTCCAGACATGACTCAGGTTTGTTTTGTGAGCCAAATATCTGAGCTCGTTTCGTTCTTTTTGAAGTTGTTTCACATCACTGTCGAGGCAATCTTTTATTAATGAGTTAAATTGGGATCTTTATTTATCCGAAACGCCAGGAAAGGCGCTTTACACCGTTGACTCGGGGGCAATCAAACTGAATGAGGCTGAACATGCATGATCCCCGAGCCAACGGCGCGGAGCGCCGTTCGGGTAAAGGAAAGCATTAGCGAAGTCTAAAGTTCATCAATAATTGCGGGCTTTCTCATACTAAATCAATTCTTATAAATGTATACGTTTACAATTTGTTATGTGAAACGATTTTCCAAGCTTTCTTACATGTATTTTTCATATTTTTGCCTTCTTCACTCCTGGCAAACAGCCATATTTTGAGATCAGTGAGATGACCACACATTGAGATGACCACGTGGATATTTAATTTATCAATTAAAACTGGAATTTATGTGGAAGAATGGAAAAAGGCTTGGGTTTTACCGATATATAAATCTGAAGACAGACAAAAATCTTTGAACGTTTAGTCTTAGACGAAGTAAAATCTTTGAACGTTTAGTCTTCAACCAATTACACAAATATCTAAATGAAAACTCCCTGCTTTCTAAGTATCAATCCGGCTTCCGTCCAAAGAACTCAACTTTGTCTGCACTTATTCAAATGTGCGATGCATGGTACACTAACATGGATAATGGAGACTTGGACGGTGTTGTTTTTCTTGATATTCGGAAAGCGTTTGACTCAATTAACCATAATATTTTATTGCGTAAAATGAAAGAACAATTTGGAGTTTTAAATATC